GGAACTCTGACGGGCAAATGTGGAAACAAGTCCGAGTCTTCATGCGCAAAAGCTTTTCCTGCCCGACAAGCAACCCGCGGATGCATACAGATGTAATCGTACATGGTTCCAGGCTTCGACTGCAGGCAGGTGGGGCAGTTGGGGTGGATGACGATGCCCCCTATGGAATTGAACCACTGCCGAAGGTCGTCCACCTGCATGTTCCAGTCTCCCGCTAGCAGCCAAGGCTGCTCTCGGGCCTCAAGCTCACAGATATAGGTGGCGACCGGCCGAAGAATCTCCACGTTGGCGTCCGAGAGGCCCTGGCCGTCGTGAAGGTAGATTGATAGCATGGTGATGCCCTGCTTGATACCCCAGTGGACGTGGGCCGCAAGGACACTTCCAGGAACCAACTCGGCTGAGGACCTCCCTGGTGCAAGAGTCACACGGACCCTGGACGGTGCCAGGATGGTCATGCCTCCATGCGTTCCCCCTTTGGCGGACGGAGGGGCTGGGGCCGAAAGGCTTGCAAAACCTGCTCGAACTGCCTGATGTTGGACGTCGGCGAGGCGCTCGTGGTCGGCATGGTGCTCTTGTACGCATATCACACACGACTGCGCCCACGTCAGCTTCAGCATATCAATTAGCGGCCCATGCGATGAAACGTTGGCCGTCACGATCGAGCTCACGGTCCTGGTGCATATCGAGTCAGGGATAGACATAGCAACCGAGGCCCTCTCTGAAGTTGGCGGGCTCTGCAGTGCAGCACCCGCCGCTGGTTTAACCTCCATGGCGCAGACCGCCACCATGATGAGCCGCAAATGCCTGCAGCTGGGGCCCCTGACAGTCCTCTGGCCTGGCACGTCGTAGTTGTCCAAGGTTGAGCTTGAGTGGCTCTTCTGTCTAGGGCCCCTCGGAGGTCTGAGAGCTCTGTGGGTCTCAGGGCCCAGCTGACCAACGTCCCTCACCAAGACATCGGCCCCAGGGCCCCTTTTCGTCCGTCAACGTCCCACAGCTCCCCAAAGCAGGGTCAGCGCTGGCACTGGGGATGGCATGTGGCCTGCATCTGATATTAGACCTCCCAGTCCTGTGGTATTGCGTGGCCATAGTTCCAGCATGCGTTGCGAGCCAGCTGATGCAAAGGTACTCGAAGTAGACGTAGTTACTGCCAATCGACCGCATGTTGTGCCTTGCCTGTCCAGCAAGTGGCGACGTATGAACCCAGCCCAGGCTCGAGGAGCACCTGGGCGTGGGATTTGATCCAGCACGTGGCGACTGAGCCTGCGCTTGCCAAAGATGGCCAGCAGGACTGTGCGATCTGACTGGCGACGAATGAACCCTGCCCAGGCTCGAGGAGCACCTGGGCATGGGATTTAGTCCAGCACGTGGCGACTGAGCCTGCGATTGCCAACGCTGGCCAGCAGGACTTTGCGATCTAACGCCGAACTGTAGCGTGCGTTCTAACGCCCGTTCTTACGCCCGAAGTTGAAGCCCACGTTGTTCGCTGCAAACGACATGAGCTTCCCGTGCAGGAAGAGCCAGCGCGCAAATCAGAGTCATAACTATGAAGCCAACAATCCAGATGACGCTGACCTTATGACCACGGCTGGAGCGAGGCTGTGATAGACCTCGTAATGGCACACATCGTTCGCCACAAACTCCGTGTGCACTGCGTCCTTGGCATAAGTTTTTTTTCTTCTTCCTCTCAAAGCTGCATCGAGCTCAACATGTGGATGAGATAGAGCTGAGGTCGGTTGACCCAGCCCTTATTGTGTCTTGCGCCGCTTAGCCAATGCTTCAGCAGCTTCAACATCTCGCTTGCACATCTCGCGCACCTCGTCATCGTCGGTCTTCATCAGTGCGTGCCTGAAAGAATTGACGCGAGCTGCCGATGTCATCAGTATCCATTGGCACAGGAACGCGCACAGCTTCGTCTTGGCTTGTTGCTCCGTCGGGTCCATGGGACCCCCCTGGCTGCTGGCCTGTCGGTCCTGGTTCGGCCGCCTGTTGCTGGGCAGAGGCTTTGGCGGCATCTGCTCTGGCTTGTGGCTGTCGAAGGGCCTCAAAGGTGGACTTGGTCTGGTCCAGGGGGGGTGGCATCTGCCCCTGCAGATTCGAAGAGCTGGCCGAGCTTGTCGGCGGGCAGGCCCATGGCAGACACCATGAGCTTGAGCGAGTACGATTCTGGAAGAGGCCTCGGCAACTGGGCCGAGACCGCGAACCGCTGGTGCTCCAGGTCAGTGATGTCCGCAGCCAGAGTATGGATGGACTTCTTGACGCCTTCGATCTTGGCTTCGGGCTCCACTTTCTGGATCTCCAATTCTGCCGAGGTCTCCTCCTGCTGCAGCCTGCTCTTAAGCAGCTCATCGATGCGAGTGGTGAAGTGGTGCATCTGGGCGGAGTGCGGCTTGTTACTGACGGTCTTGGACTTAATCGCCGTTCGTTCAGCTTCAAGTGACTCGCGCACCGCCACAACAGCAGGCTCGGTGAGGTTGCCCAACGCTCGGAGCGCCTGGCTGATCTCATTGAGGCGCTTCTGGTCGGGGTCAGTCTTGTCGTTGAGGGGCGTGTCCACTGCCTGCCCAGTCTTTGCCGCCGACACTTGCTCACGTAGCTTGGCAATCTCAAGGTCCTTGGCCTTAAGCTGCTTGTCCTTCTCGGCAGCGAAGTTGGCGACTGCTGCTTTCTGCCGCTGCTTGTCACGTTCCATGGCTGGGCCCTGAAACTCGGCGCCGACTGTAGAGGCTTGGGGCCTCCGAACGTAGCACCTTTATTGCATTGGCAGCTTGAGCAAGCGCTGAGGTCTCCTCTGTTCCACCACTTCTCTCCTGTCCGCGGGTGAACACACCAGCGGCGCAGCCAAGGCGCGGCCCAGGCTCTGCGATAACCGATCTTCGGCAGGCGCCCGCCATCCACCATGGGTCTGCTGTAGCTGGAAACAGAGCGAGATCGGGAGGTACGGTCCCGAGCGTGCAAGTCGTTGGGAAGAACGCGGCACCTCCAGCCTGGGCAGGCGCTGGGGAGGTGCGGAAGCGGTGAGGGCCGTGGGTTCCCTCCTGCCAAAAAGTCAAGTCCAGAGCCAACGCTACGGACTTGATCCAAAATGGCTACGGAAAGAGGAGGAGGGAGGAGGGATGAGGGCGGAGGGATGAGGGGGGAGGAGTAGGAGGAGGAGGAGGATGAGGAGGAGAAGGACGAGGAGGAGGAGGAGGAGGAGGAGGAGGAGGAGGGGGAGGAGGAAGGATCATAATCATACTAAGAATAAGCATAAGACGAAGAAGACGAAGCAGACACATACGATGAATACTAACACCACTAATAATAATTGTAATATTAATAATAGTAGTAGTGATAATAATACTAAGAACAATATTACTACTACTACTACTGCTAATACTACTACTACTATTAATAATAATAATAGTACCAAGAAATAGAAGAACAATGCTACGAATAATAAGACTAATAATAATAATCAAACGACTAATGACACTACGAATAATACTACGACGAATAATTTGACGAATGATACTACCAGCAATAATAATAAACCGACGGTGGATAATACTAATCAGCATACTACTAATACTAATAATACTCATAATTATACTGCTACTACTAATATCAATACTAATAAACATTTTGATACTGCTAATAATATTACTACTAATACTAATTATAACAATATCATTAATACTACTGATGATAATACTCATAATAATAATATTAATAATACTGATAATAATATTAGTTATATTAATACGAATTATAGTAATAAGAATAATAATACGAATGATCACAATAATAATACTATTTATAATAATAGTAATACTAATAATAATACTAAGAGTAATAAGAATACGACTAATACTACGACTAATAAGAATAATTCAATTTAAGACGACGGATGATACTACTACTACTACTACTACGAATACTAATAATAATAGTAATAATAATAAGAATAAGAAGAAACGTAAACATAATAATAATAATAATAATAATAATAAGAATAATAAGAATAATAATAATAATACTATTAAGAAGATTAATAAGAAGAATCAGCAGACGAATAATAATAATACGAAGAATATTAATACGAATAATCATAACAACACGAAGACACATACGAATACTACTAAGACTCAGAAAGCTAACACTAATAAGAAGACGATCGCGCAGCAGAAGAATACGAATACGACACCGACGACGAAGAAGACGAGGAGGAGGAGGAGGAGGAGGAGAAGGGGAGGAGGGCGGAGGAGAAGGCGGAGGAGGAGGAGGAGGCGGAGGATGAGGAGGAGCAGGAGGAGGAGGAGGAAGAGGAGGATGAGGAGGAGCAGGACGAGGAGGAGCGGAGAAGGGGGCGGAGGAGGAGGAGGAGGACGAGAGGAGGAGGAGGAGTAGGAGGAGGAGGAGGAGGAGGAGAGGAGGGGGAGGAGGAGGATGAGCAGGAGGATGAGAGGAGGAGGAGAGGAGGACGAGCAGGAGGAGAGCAGGATGATGATGATGATGATGATGATGATGAATGATTGATGAGGAGGAGGAGGAGGAGAGGAAGGAGGAGGATGAGGAGAGGAGGAGGAGGAGGATGAGGAGGAGGAGGAGAGACGACGAGAAGCAGGAGGAGGAGCAGGAGGAGGAGGAGGAAAAAAAGGGAGGGAGGAGGAGGAGGAGGAGGAACAGGAGGGGGAGGAGGATGAGTAGGAGGAGGAGGAGGAGGAGGAGGAGGAGGAGGACCACGACTAATACACATAAGCATACTCATAGTCTTTTTTGTACTAATTTGCATAACGCTTTTCGTATACATGTACTAAGAGTAACATGACACATACGAAGAGTACTACTACTGTTAATCAGACGAGTAATAATACTATGAAGACGAAGCATAATACTAATGAGGGAGGAGGGGGAGGAGGAGGAGGAGGAAGAGGAAGAGGACGAGTAGGAGGAGGAGGAGGAGGAGGAGGAGGAGGACACAACAGGCGTACCAGCATGGCTCGCGCCCGCGACGGTCGCAGGTCCCTCATGCCCATCCACAAGCACGGTCCGCCGAATTTTCCGACTTACTACGAGGCGCCATTGCTCCCAGGATGTGGAGGAGGGGGGAGGGACATGCTAGGCGCGCGTGCGCCATATCTGACATCCTACCGCTCCCGACTGTCCCTTCCCAGCACTCTGAGTTCTTCTCTATCCGCCGACTGGTGTGCCATAGAGGACCCCGATCCCCCACCGTGACCCCATCGTGCGATGCGCAATCAGAAAAGGGGGGTTCTGTACGAGGGAGGTTGGGGAGGTTTATGCTATTGGTGTTTGGTTTTGCCTTTTTGAGGCCCTCGACGTCACGCCTGGAGTCGTCTTGACATCTTGGTCAGAAACCGCCCCAGAAGAGCTCATGGACTCGTTTTTGGAGGGAGGTGGAGCATGATAAGGAGGATCATGATGACGATGATGATGCTGATGATGATGATTATGATGATGCTGATGACGATGCTGATGATGATGATGATGACGCTGATGATTCTGATGATGATGCTGTTGATGCTGATGATGATGAGGTGGAGGCGGGTGAGGCGGGTGATGATGATCATGAGGCGGAGGAGGAGGAGGAGGAGAACGAGGAGGAACATGATGATGATGCTGATGCTGCTGATGATGATGATGACGATACTGATGATGCTGATGCTGATGATGATGTTGATGATTATGACGGTGATACTGATCATGCTGATGATGATGATGATGATGCTGATGATCATGATGCTGATGATGGCGACGAGGAGGAGGTGGATGAGGATGAGGATGATGATGATGATGATGATGATGATGATGATGATGTTGATGATGCTGATGATGATGATGATGATGATGAAGCAGAAGAAAACGAGTCTGGTGATGATGCTGGTGGTGATGATGCTGCTGATGGTGATGTTGATGATGATGTTGTTGATGATAATGACGATGCTAATGCTGATGGTGGTGATACTGATGCTGCTGATGATGGTGATGTTGATGATGATGCTGATGATGGCGATGGTGATGATGCTGCTGCTGATGATGATGCTGATGATGATGCTGATGATAACGGCGATGGTGCTGCTGCTGATGATGCTGATGCTGATGATGATACGGCTGATGATCATGATGCTGCTGCTGACGATGATGATGAGGATGCTGCGGATTTTGCTGCTGCTGATGATGACGACGACGACGATGATGATGATGATGATGAGGACGATGATGATGCTGAGGATGATGAGGATGAGGATAAGGATGCTGATGACGGTGATGACGATGATGATACTGAGGAGGAGGAAGAGGATGAAGAGGAGGAACATGTTTATGATGATGATGCTGCTGATGCTGATGCTGATGCTGTTGATGATGATGATGAGAATGATGGCGATACTACTAATGAGGATGCTGATGCGGATGATGATGCTGATAATGACGATGGTGCTGCTGATGATGATGCTGATGATTATGACGGTGATGCTGCTGCTGATGATGACGATGGTGCTGCTGATGATGCTGCCTGATGATGATGGTGCTGATGGTGATGCTGCTTATGATGATGCCGAGGACGATGATGATGTTGATGATGGTGATGAGGATGATGATGGTGATGATGATGATGACGATGGTGCAAATGCTGCTGCTTCTGATGATGATGCTGATGCTGCTGATGATGGTGATGCGGCTGCTGATGCTGATGCTGCTGCTCATTGTGCTGCTGATGCTGCTGCTGCCGCTGATGATGATGATGCTGATGATGCGGCTGCTGCTGATGATGCTGATGCTGATGACGATGACGATGATGATGATGATGCTGATGATGGTGATGATGATGATGCTGATGCTGCTGCTGATGATGATGATGATGGTGATGGTGATGGTGATGATGATGCTGATGATGCTGCCGATGATGATGCTGATGTTGAGGATGATGATGATCCTGATGATGATGGCGATGCTGATGATGCTGATGATGATGATGACGCTGACGACGAAGATGGTGATGATGATGATGCTGCTGATGATGATGATGATGGTGGTGGTGGTGGTGGTGGTGATGTTGATGCTGATGAGGATGTTGATGATGTTGATGCTGATGATGAGGATGGCGGTGGTGGTGGTGGTGGTGGTGATGATGATGCTGATGCTGCTGCTGCTGCTGATGATGATGATGATGATGATGATGATCATGATGATGATCATGATGATGATCATGATGATGCTGATGATGCTGATGATGATGATGCTGATGATGATGATGATGATGCTGCTGCTGCTGATGATGATGATGATGATGATGATGATGATGATGATGATGATGATGATGATGATGATGCTGATGATGATGATGGTGCTGATGATGTTGTTGTTGTTGTTATTGTTGATTCTGGCTAGGAGGAGGAGGAAGGGGAGCAGGAGAAGGAGCAGGAGGGGAGGGAATGAGGAAGAGGAGGAGGAGGAGGAGGAGGAGGAGGAGGATGAGGAGAGAGGAGGAGGAGAGGAGGAGGGAGGAGGAGGAGGAGGAGGAGGAGCAGGAGGGGAGGAGGAGGAGGAGGAGGAGGAGAGGAGGAGGAGGAGGAGAGGAGACAGGAGGAGGAGGAGGAGGGCAGAGCAGGAGGAGCAGGAACTGAGGAGGAGGAGAGGAGGAGGAGAGGAGGAGGAGGAAGAGGAGGGAGGAGGAGGAGGAGAAGAGGGAGGAGGGAGGAGGAGGAGGAGGAGGAGGAGGAGAGGAGGGAGCAGGAGGAGGAGGAGCAGGAGGAGGAGGAGAGGAGGAGGAGGAGGAGGAGCAGGAGCAAGAGGAGGAGGAGGGGAGAAGGAGGGAGGAGGAGAGGAGGAGGAGGAGAGGAGGAGGAGGAGGAGGAGGAGGAGGAGGAGGAGGAGGAGTGGGAGCCCCCCCCCCCCTTTTTATCACATTCCCTTACACGTAGACAACTTCTCCTCAGCGCCACCAGACGTGTCCGCAATGCGGGATGGGCGATTTGCTTGAGACTGCTTGTCAGTTCATTGCCCTGAATATGAAATATGTGAGCAGTTTCAAGGATGAAGGGCATACATTGTTTACAATATGGCTTTCACTTCAGCGCCGCGCATATTCTTTTTTTATGGCTTCAGCAGCGTCAAGGGTGGAGGCTGGATGGCTTTCGAAATGGGGCTCTCACTTCAGCGCCGTGCACGTTTGTCTTGCAAGTTTCCAGCAAGTCCATGGAGTGAAGGCTGGTTGTTTCGAACATGTGGCTCTCGCCTTAGCGCCACGCACATTCGTCCTACGCATTTGCAGAATTTTAGGACATGGAGGCCGATTCGTTTCCAAACTGTGGCTCTCGGCTTGGCGAAACGCGCAATCGTCTTCAGAGTTTGCAGCAGTTCCAGATTGGCGGGCGGCTCCTTTTGACAATAGGGCTTTCGCTTCAGCGACGCGCACATTCGTTTCAAAAGCTTGCAGCAGCTACGGGGTTGGAGGGCGGTCTTTTCAAAATGGGGCTCTCGCTGGAGATCTCCTCACAAGTAAAGAGTAGTAGAAGCTAGTGCAGGTAGGAGAGCCTCCTTTTCAAGATGGAGCTTTCGCGTGGGACGGCCCCACGCTCCCTGACCAGACGTGCACTCGTGTGCAGCAGTTGCGCGGAGGGCGGGAGGCTCCGTTTCGAAACGAGGTCCTCGCTCGACACCTCGCTGAACTCGATGCTCCTGTGTCGGCGTCACCCCAACATACTTGTACTACATGTGCGTCACCCCCTCAGGGGCGACGCGCGCACCGAGAAGTCTTCATTCTTACAGTGTGTGCGTCGTGGCGGGCGCTTTCTGGCCACACCGCTCGGGAAGCGATGTACTACGAGATAGGTGTACCATATGTTGGGGTCGGACGCGCGCCTCCAAGGAGGACATGCAGTATTTTCTATGTCCCTGTGCGTCCCACCACACATCGCCAGACTTCGGGGACACCTGGTGGCTCGGGGCGGCGGCGCTACTGCCGAGTGTGCCGCACACTGCGGCTCGAGGGAGATCCTGGCACCCGGAAGTGCTCGGGTCGGGCAGTGGCCGGGGGTCCGGGGAGGAGGAGGAGGAGGAGGAGGAGGAGGAGGAGGAGGAGGAGGAGGAGGAGGAGGAGCAGGGGGAGGAGGAGGAGGAGGAGGAGGAGGAGGAGGAGGAGGAGGAGGAGGAGGAGGAGGAGCAGGAGCAGCAGGAGGAGGAGGAGGAGGCGGAGGAGGAGTAGGAGGAGGAGGAGGAGGAGGAGGAGGAGGAGGAGGAGGAGGAGGAGGAGGAGGAGG